AATAATGAGTGTGTGAATAAGCAAATAGCAGGAAGGTCACACAAAGAGTATCACGATGAATATCATGACTATTTTAAACAAAAGAGGAAAGACTATTACGCGAAACATAGGGAATATTATGCTTTGCGAAGCAGGGAATACAGAGAACAACACAAAGAGGAAATACAGGAGCGTCGCAAACAGAGTTATAAAGACAACAGAGACAAAATCTTGCTAAATCAAAAACGGCCTTTTACATGCGAGTGTGGCGCTACATGTGTTTGGAATGTCAAAGCAAGACATTTCCGAAGCAAGAAGCACCAGCAGTTCTTACAGCAACAAAACGAAGCTTAATTTTATTAAAATATCATCTTTATTATAATGAGCAGTTCTAATAAAGATGATATAATAAACAAGGTTTATTACGACAAAAGTGGGTTTGGGTCTAAAAGTCGCACGTTGGCAGAGGCGCAGGAAAAAGACAAAACAAAATCGGAATGATTTGTGTGGATGTATTCAGCAAATATTTGAATGTAGCGCCTTTAAAATCTAAACAACCACCAGATATTTTAGCGGGACTTATGGAAAACATAATTAAAATGGGTGGGAAGCCATCCATTTTATATAGTGATGAAGAAGGTAGTTTAAACAATCAGTCGGTAATAGATTATTTAAAAGAAGAAAAAATTAGAATTACATAGAACCAGAACTCACGCGGCGTTTGCCGAACGTGGTGTGCGCACAATAAAAAAGATGCTTTACGACAGAGTTGAAGCAGATGAAAAGAAGGGAAAGCAAAGCATCCAATGGACGGACTACATCTTTTGAAATACTACTTACCTATAATAGTAAAATGGTTCATAGCGCCCATAAATTCACGCCAAAAGATGCCAGAAAACCTAGCAACGAATTAAAAGTGAAATTCAATTTGACTATGAACGCAAAGCGAAATAGACTTTACCCCGATGTAGATACGGCAGACAAGGTAAAGATATATCGTAAAAAAGGAGTAGGCGAAAAAGAGCGAACTAGCAAGTGGTCAGCGAATACTTATACAGTTGAGAAAATTGAAAAGAAATTAAACCAAAACTACTACTATGTAAATGGACAAACGCGCCCATATTTAAGGCACGAGTTTTTTGAAGATTTAATAATCTTACGCACTAAATTTCTAAAGAAAAACATCTAAAGAAATAATACCTGTATATATTAACAGGGAAATGTTCAATCAAAAAGAGCAGGATGAAATAATAAATAACTTCTTGGATGTTATTGAGGTCAGTGACTACATCAGAGAAAGTAAGAAAAAGCGAGATATTTGTAAGTGTAAGGATTGTAAAAAACACGAACGTTATTGCGCTCTATACGATTTGCCACTACCAGAAAATATTATTAACAATATCTACGGCTTTGCTTATCGGTGTTGGAGATGCGAACAGGCTAAAGACAAAGAGGAAGAATCAGAAGAACGACTTGAAACCAATGATTTATGCTTATATGATGTTGATAAGCTTATATTGAAACTGGATTGTTTGTTTCCGTTGTATGATTCCGTGAAGCATGTGATTACAAATATAACTTTGAAGAGATACAATATGTTTAAGAAACTATTTAATGACATGATGTATTGTAGTGATAGAGAAGAAATAAAAGCATGGATACAATTAGAAAAATATAATGTAAATGCTACATCGTATGATTTTCACAAAATTGTTAGAACACTGTTGAACAAACCTAATTTTGATTTACTGGACTAAACAACCATAACATTATTAATATTATAATGTTATGTTTGTAACCATCCTAAACCCTAAAAGTGTTACTAACTCGTGTTTAGGCGTTCATTGTCATTGTAGTTGTTTCTTTTTTGTTGAGCATATGCTGATGCTCTCTGAGCATATGCGCCGAGCATATGTTGATGCTCCCCGAGCATATACCCCGAGCATATGTTGATGCTCTATGAGCATATATGCCGAGCATGCGCGCAAGTCTGCCGAGCATACGCGCAAGTCTGCCAAGCATACGCGCAAGTCTGCCAAGCATGCGCGCAAGTCTGCCGAGCATACGCGCAAGTCTGCCGAGCATATGTTGATGCTTACCTTATTCCTATACCTTATTCCTAAACCTTATTCCGATTATAGATATTTTATTAGAGACTACCATTTCCATCCAAGCATATGGTGATGCTTGCCGAGCATATGTTGATGCTTGCGGAGCATATGCGCAGAGCATACGTTGATGCTTGCGGAGCATATGCGCAGAGCATACGTTGATGCTTGCGGAGCATATGCGCAGAGCATACGTTAATGCTTGCCGAGCATATGTTGATGCTTACCTTATCCCTAAACCTTATTCCTATTATTGTAAAATTATTAGAGAATACCATTTCCATTTTCAAGGGTTAGGGTTTTCAGGTTGGGAATATGGGTTTTTCTATGGGGGTGTTGGTGTATGGGTTTGAGGTTGGGGTTTTTCTATGGGGTTGTGGATGGTTCCATAGTATGGGTTCTTCAGGTGGGTCTTACTATGGGTCTTTCGGTGGGTTTAGGGTTGAGGAAAAGGTTGTTATGGTTTTGGGTCTTGGTTGGCCTAGGGGGGTGGGCATGGTTAGAAAATGGAAATGGTATCCACTAACTGTCTGCGCCCCCCCTTCAAACCCCCCGCTGTTTCTTAAAGCCGGGCAAGCTTGCTTCAAAGCATATGAGTATCCTTTCCAAACCAATGATGCGAGCGTTGTGTTTGCAAATGGGGGGGGCTGCGCCCCCCCCCAACCCCCTCCCCGGCTGTTTTTCTTAGTCCGGGCAAGCTTGCTTCAAAGCACATGAATCCTTCTGATGCGAGCACTTTTTTGCAAAAAAACATGAAGACGCAGTAAGATACAATGATATACAAGAATATATTACAAAACGATGCAATAATATACAATAATACAGAAAATACAACAATATGCAAGTATGTACAAGAATATGCAGCAATATACACGTAAAAAAAGAGTAACTTACAATAATTTTCAGTAATTGACAATAATATTCAATAATAGACAACAATATACAATAATATACAAAAATATGCAAAAATTTACACCCATATATACAATATTTTCAAAAATGTACAAAAGATGTACAGCAAGACATACAACAGTATAAAATAGTGTACAAAAGACTACAATAATATACAATAGTAGATATACAATAGTAGACAATAATATACAAGAATATACAATAATATACTATAATACAGAGTAATCTGCAATAATATACAAAGAAAATTCAAGAATATGCAATAATATACAGTAACCTACAAAAAAAGAGAACAATATACAATAAATTGAAAAATATACAATAACATTCAATAATATGTAACCTATCAAGGGGCCAACACTGAAGTTTAGGGCAACCCTAAACGCCTGTAAGGTTTTATGCTCCATTTGTTGTTTCACGCCGCTTTCCCTTTCTTTACAACCTTACTGTTTGGGGTCATCGCCGGCATAATTTCATGTTTTTCGGGTTGAATCTGACTTTTGCACTGGCTTTTGTTGTTTGGCATGGGACGGGCCATGATGGATGCAAACATGATGCAGACATTTTGAATGACCGGTCGGGTACACTCCCGGGAGTGTACGATTCCTTTACACGGGCAACTTTTTGGGGGGACCTTGTGTGCCAAGTGTAACGCTTTTGCGCTCGGCGCACTTGAACGAGAAGTTCCTGGCAAGCACGTGCTGATTACGTCCCTGCCTTGTGTTCACACCGCCGGACGCAGTACTCAGCGATGGACGTTGCGTTGGAAAGCTTCATGAGCCGTACAAGCCTTCACTTCGAAGAGGCGTCGTGACAAAGTCTCCGTAAGTGAACCTGCGCAAAATCCATTTGAAAGCTATTTTTCGTGTTCGGAGCTGCACCCAGAGTGTTCCGGACAATGCCCATCGTCGCCCATCGTCACTGGTCCCTTCCTGTTTCTGCATGTTCTGTAAAGGCCGGGACTGGGGCGCGATGCCCTACGAATGGCCTTACTACATTAGATGTGAAAGCTGCCGCTTTTCACATACACATACATGACACGGGAAGACTTTTCCAATCTTGCGGGGGCCATTAAGGCACTCCGGACCGCATTAAAGAAGGGCACAGCGAGGACAATCATTGTGAATTGCAGAACTCCATGGACCAATGGCCTTTTGAACACGCATTGCCTTCCTGGGACTTGGCAAGTCCACATGGGGTTGAGAACTTGTTTAGGTTTGTCCTGTCGTGCAGCCTTCAGAAAAGCTGGCATTCATGTTCATTGGGAGGCCTGCTTCAGTGCTTCCACTGATGGTATTCCTGCTGCTCCCTTTGAAGGGATGGTGCTGCTGTGTGCTACTGCATCATTACATTGGCCACTGGGTTGACAGATCAACCTTTCATTCTTCATTAGGGGAAATAGAGGTGTCTTGAACTCTAGCAGTCAGAGTGAACCCGAGTGCAAACACAAGCATTGTACAAGCATGGCGAAAGATCAGTGAAGCTTGGGGTGCCAATCGCTCCAGCTGCTTCCTTGGATTGTGTTGCTTTGGACATGCCAACGGCGGCATGAGCGTAAGACCCTCTTGGAACATGCGTGTGAATATGATTGACATTGGATTTAGAAGTTCCATCCCTAAGCCAGAGACACGTTTGCAGAGCATGTCGGCAACTCGGTCATCGTATAACATGTACACCAAAAGCTACATGCAGGCTTCATTGCTCCCTCAATTGGCAACGACCCTTGAGGTGATTGTGGTTTATTCAGATTAATTCAACACTCAACATGCTTTCCCCCAACTTGGCCTGAGTTTGCCGGGGACTGCGCGAGTGCTTGAAAGCCTGTTGAAGTCACGCCTTGATCTTCGAGACTGGCTCGCCAGCAACGGAGGGTTTGGCCCGCGTCTTGTACCTCATGTGACCACACCAGGCGGGCAAACCGTGTGAAAGGGCGCAGCACATGTTTCGGAGTTTCGGAGAGGCCAGAGGCACCGAAGAAGTTGTTCGGAGCCCATCGGCACCATGACAAAGTTCCCTTCATTCCTTAGTGGAATGTTTCCTGCGAGCTCCAGTTCCCCTCGCACAGGCAGGGTTGCCAGCTTTTCGGCCATGTGGTTGCAGCCATGTCAACGCCAGGTAAGCGGAGCCCCAACTCCACGGCAGTGCGTACTCCAGGTACATGATAGACTAATGATAGACTTAGCATTTCTTTTGCAGACGTTGCTGCAATTCTTGCTTGGGAAGGTGTGCCTTCTCCACGGCCAAGTACAACAACACCGGCTCCTGCAGCACCTCCAGCAACTTGGAAGTTTAGATCCAACTTAGATCCGAATGGTAGCTGAATGTGAGGCGGCTGGAACATATTTGCCAAACTTGCTCCAATTGAGGCATGGCGATCACAGGCCAAGTGCACGGCAAAGCAAGGCTGTCGGGTCATACGTAGAATGTGCTTCCAGGACCTGGGCGGGCAGGCGCGATCTTGCGATCTTGGTCCGGGAGCCTTTCAGTCCCAGCTGCACACTGTTTGCAGGTAGTCACGAAGGAGGTTCTTCAGGACTCTCCATACGGTCTTTGGCCTGTGACTTTAAGGACGCCATTTTGTTATGATGCACCATGTCCAACTCATCTTTCAGGAGTCCGTCGATGCTGTCACAGCCGGCGTTCAAGCTTGGGATCCAGAAGAGTATATTTTGAACTCGCTTTTGCAGGCTCGCCCGTTGAAGCATTCTTTAGCTTTGGGATGAGGCTGTCTCGCCTGGATTCAGCATGCAGGAAGCAGTGCGAAACCATGGACGTGTAGACTTAATGCAGAAGAAGGCATCCGATGGGTGATGTTTGCTGAACTGCTGCGTGCTCTAGTGACTCTAGTGTTGGTGGAAGCGTCTTGCCAGAGCGGGGAGAAGTTCGCCGTGAAAAGGATGCCAAACAGGCCCGACACGGAATTCTTTGCTCAGCGTACTGGAATGCTTTGCTGTATGAGGTGGGTTCGTGAAGGACCTACGGAATTTAATGAGCAGTGCCCTGGAGCAGAAGTCGGCGTCGGATCTCATGTGATTCCTGCAAACATGATGACAAGGTACCCGACCGCCTCAGAACGACCTTGGGTAGATATCGGCCTGGTGAGGCTGCTTCAGCTGCTAGTGCATGCCGAGCAGACAAACAGGCTGCGGCTAGATTGGAGCAACATATGTGCTGCGTGGCAGGCATTTGAACTCCATCCGATACCCATATGTTTGCGAGCTCATCGGTGTCTTTCGTGACGATGAGAACACGTGCTCTGCATGACGTTGTCACGTTGGAACGCTTGGTTGATTTGGACGTAGTGCCCTTGCTTCTTGGCTGACAGTTGCGTCAAGGTACGTGACGGTTTCGTTGGCTACGCAAGGGGATCTCTTCACCTGGTGTGATCGAGTACAAACCTCAAAGACGTACCACGTAAACCTCTCCAGCACGTACCAGACGTACCACATCTGGTTGTGGGATCATGTCATGACTGTCGTGCGATGTCCAAGGACCCGCGCCCAGGACCTTCGCGAGAGGCGCCGCGGGCACAAAGGATGGCGTTTGGTTTTGTCATTCTTGATAACCAAGGCCGTCATGCTGCCCATCGTCGGGCAAATCTTCACGGCAGTCAGGCCGGGCGGCATGGCAGGAAATGCACCGGAATTCTTGAGCGCTGCGCAAAAGTAGGACTCCTCCTGAGCTTGGCAGGTGGCTTCATGATTTGGGCGTTGCACACAGAGACCTGTCGTTGGCGCCTTAGTCGATGGCTGTCACAGCTTGTGCAGCTGCTAGCTTGGAACGTTGCGAGGCTGGAGAACATTCTCTTGACTGATGTAGAAGGCAGGACTTGGCAGGAAAGTTCTTGGCAGGACATCGCACAGGCTCCAAGGGCACAAAAAGATGGAATCCGTGAGGCTCGCAGCAGGTGAAGCTCATCGATTTTGGAATGTCCACCACGAATAGGGTATGCAAGAAGGAGGCATCGCTGGGAACAGTCTTGCGTGGGACATGTGGGACATGTGGGACATGTGGGACACAATGTGACACAATCCCCCACCTGACGGAGGTCCGCGGCAAGCAGTCCTACCAGGCCTACGTACGGAGCTGTACGATGCACGTCTTGTACGTCTGGGTACGTCTTGTACGTCTTGTACGTCTTGTACGTCCGGGTACGTTTGGGTATGCAGTCGCCGTTCCAATCGGAGGCTCCGGAGATGCACGCCGCTGCCGAATACGATGCCTATTTGGCGGATGAGTGCAGGGCCAAGGAATCTTCAAGCACCCTTGCTCGTATGCGCAAGAACTTCAGTGCATGAAGCTGCCAAGGTTTGCATTGGGCGTTGTTCTGTTTGCCATGGCAGTTCAGGCATGCTGGTGACCGCTGGTGTGTGTCATGCAACACTAGCAGCGAGCTCTGTGATGAGTGGTGCAACAGTGATGCCAGACCTGCTAGGATTATCCGTGGACATCGACCAAGAAGAATTCATGCCAGCTCTTCGAGTATATCTCAACGTGTGGCTCTTGGATTGTGACAAACAGTGACAAACACTTTAACGCGCAGAATGACAGTCATTGACTGTTCCCAAGGTTTGGCTTGATGAAGTTCTTGAAGAAAAGGAAGCTGCGCAAGGGCACGGAGCACCTCTCGGAGGCTTCTGTTCTAGTTCTGTTCTCGCATGTGCTGCGCATGTGCTGCGCATCTCCGAACTGACACCGTGACAGGTCTTAAGCGCTGAGCTCGCCCAGCTGATCGACGCTATGCTGCAGGACCTTGCAGTGCAGCATAGTGCCATGATCGTGCCATGCACCTTGATGGAGTTGCACACCGGTCACGTGTCACCACAAGATATGCCGTCTGTGCGCTTTGTGCACTTTGGTCACTTTGCCAGCTTGAGCCTGGCAACCGTCTTTGCCTTGGCGAATCCTGCTTCAGCGGCGAGGCCAGTTTCTGACAAATTGAAAAGAATCTTTCACGATGTGTGCCTGCCAGGCCCGAGGCACCGTGTGGGACGAAGCGTGGATACAACCTTTCCAAGGCGCTGCGCTGTTTTTCACACAAGTTCCTTTGCAGTTACTCTTCCCGTGAGGAGGAAGGTAACACTCCACAAGGCCTGGAGCGAGACAGTCAAAGTGTGGAAGCCTCAAATGCACTCGCCTCCTGCAGGAACACCGCAGAAGAGGCCATTTCAACGTTCCACTCCGAATATGGCATGATGAGCATCATGCCTCATGAGGATGCATTGGTACTGGTGTCTCCCCGGTTGTGTGGGCCACATTGCAGCAAAACAACACAAGATAGTACTCAGTGATTGCGGCATACCGGTTAGACAGATGAGCGCAGTGCTCAAGCACGGGATCAAAAAGTATCCCATGCTTCTTATGATGTCTCACCGCTCGTGGCAGGAATTCTTGAGGGATCCCTACCAGAGTGATAGGGCACTGCCAGAACAACTACCGTTTTTTAATTGCCAGCAGCAAAGGCGGAAAGGCGAGCAGGGCAACTGACCTGAACGTCTGAGTGTTGAGACGGCTGACGCTGACCAGAGACTTGGGCTTTTGAAGCTTTTACCAACGTTCGACGAAATCTACACTGATTCACCGTCGTCGAATCTTGTGTTGCTTCCTGGTTCAGCATAGACTGGCACACGAGTTCCATGAAGCTCAAAGCCGGAGGTGAGAGGCTGCACAATGTGACTGTTCCGTGCCTGTGAACATGTAGATCTTTTTTCTGAAAGCCTCCAATTGAATTCTGGACTCCCGGCTTGAGCAGTTGACACCCAAGATGCCCAGCGTATTCTGCAAATTCCTTGCAAGGCTCTATGAAATGTGGCATGGCAGAATGCCTTTTGGCCTGCTTCGCAGCACGCATAGCAGCGTGATTACAACATGCCAAGAATATCAGCCTCTTTGCAGCAGGCTTGTTCACGCACCAAATTATTTGGGAGTGTTCTTGGAGACCAGCAATCCAAAATCCCCACAGAGTGCTGTTCTGAATGAGACTGCTGCACCGGATACTGGCTCATGGCCCCCGCTGGCGAATTGGGACTCATCTCGTAGACGAAGCGACAGGCATATCAGCTGGACAGTCTATTCACGTGCTTCGCTGGAGGGCGGGGCAAGGGACATTTAGACGGCCTAATGGGACAACCACGACAATTTTTGAATTGCGACATGCATATCAATGTGCACAATGGCGAAGCTGAAACGGGCAGCCTATCGAAAAACCGACCTTGGGTGCTTTGGCAGTGTTTCAATGCATGCTTCGAATCCGCAACGAGACAGCTTGCTGCAGCTGCTCCAGCTGCTCTGTGTGGATGTTTATGGAAGCAAGAGCAGCGTAAGCATATTGTAAACGCTTGCGCGCGCCGCCTCGGCAGCCGGGCCGGCCCCAGGACAGGAAAAGGGAGGAAGGGCAGAGCAGGTGGGGGGGGGTCGGGGGGGGTGAGGGGGGGTGGGGGGGGGGGGGGGGGGTTTTTCAGGCACTCCCCATGTAGGAGCCACCGACAAGCGGGACCCTCCACGGCAGCGGTTTGCAGCTCCTCCAAGGGATTGGGGGGGTTCCCACAGGGGGGGGGGGGGTGGCGTCAGAAAATTTGGCATGGGGGGAAGGGTTGGGTTAGTTCCAGACGCTTCTCGGCAGGAAGCCGAGGCGAAATCATGTCAACATCTTTGCTCCAAAGCAGCACATGCCCAGCAGTAGAGGAGACAACCGCAATGCAAACAGCATCTTCTGACAGCCGCAATGAGGATCAGGGTCGGCAGGTGCGCAACCTTTCAGACCACAATACTGTTTTTAGCATGCGGCCTGCTCTGGACACCTGTGAAAGGCCGAAATTCCTCAAATTCCTCAACTTCTTCAACTTCTTCAAATTCCTCAAATTTGAGGCATTTGAGGAATTTGAGGAATCCCGTGAAATCGAAATCCTCAAATTCCTCAAATTCGAGGAATTTGCAGGAATTTGAGGAATTTGAGGTATTTGTGCAGCTCCAAGTGGTGCCACAACATCGCCACGACTTTGCTGATCAGGTTGCTCCTGCATGGTGGTTTTGCTGGCGAGCTGGGTTCACCATCATGGTTTGTGCATGTGTCTACCAGATGCTGCTGCTCATGTGTCTCATGTGAGATCACAGTTTGATACAATTTGTGTGTCTCATGTGGGCCTTGTTGGCTTCGCTTACCCAGGTGAGCGCAATCTCTACTTGGGCCAGGCCCAAGATGCGAATGTGAAGGCGAGGAAAAGATATGAAAAGATATGGGAAAGACGGGAACCCCAGAAAAGAGATGGAAGGAAGGACCTCCAAGAACGTCTTCCTTTTCTTCTATGCGAGAAGAGAAGTGAAACATAGAGTAGACGTTACTGAGCTTTAAACCTCTTGAACGGCAGGGGCCATTCGCGCGGCCCTTGATATGCTTCTATGCTGCCCTCAGAGTTGCACTTTCTTCCTTTCCAATCTCCCAGTCCTTCCGCAGTGCCGAGAGAACAGCGCGCGCTGAAGCGCTGGAGCGTGCTCTTCTCTCGCAGAAATAGCGGAGAAGCGACATGAAAAGGCGCTTGAGGAGAGAGGAGGGCAAGCGCTGATGTTGCTGGCTCTCCGTTTGTTGCCCTTTGTTTTGCCTCGAACCTTTTTCGCTTCGCTTCACTTCAGAAGCCCTCCGCCAAGTCCGCCTCATATCGGCGCTTCGCCGGTAGGATGGGAGCCGAACATCTTGTAGGAGCGTGAGGAGTGCTACGTCGCTCCGGGGCTCCCGCCTCCAAGCTTTGCGTCGCCGTTTCAGCGGTGCTTCAGCGGTGCCTTCAGCGGTGCTTCTGTGTTCTTCTGTGTCACATGCGTCACGCGGCACTGGGCCTCGTGGCATGTCAGGGTCAGCGGATTCGGAGCGTGTCGTTTGACTTAGACGTCTCCCTATGTGCAGCATATTGCAGCATGCTGTGCAGCACAATTGACAATGCAGCATAACACAGCATCTTGCAGCATCTGCGCAGCTTTGGGCCCAAGTGTTTCAGGTCCTCTTGAGCAGAGTTCCCTGTTTTTCAGCACTCTCAAAGTCTCAAAGTTTTGATGGAATGAGGGTCCTTCGGATCCTTCTCGGCACCCTCGCCGCAACCCGGATATGCTCGGCTCCAAGAGCTCCACGAAGCAGACCCCAGCGAAAGCAAGACAAGTTCAGAGCGCATCTCTCAAAAGTTGTCACGAGTTCTCCAAGCTCTAAAGAGGTGCGCTGAAGATGGAGTTGACCGACAGCAACTTCAAGAAAGCGCTGGAGGGGAAGAACGCCGCTTCGGGCCAACGAGAATGAGACTTGGGGATTCCGCTTCCGAGTTGGCTGGATCGAGTCGGTTTAGTTCACGGGGTTTGCTGCCTGCATTCTCAAAAGAGACAGTTCAAGACTTTTCTCCTCTCTCAGAGACGGCCTTTGTTCTTCTTTGGAAGCCCCTCTCGCACCCAAGGCTTTCGTGTTCTTCCAAGCACCGTGGTGCGGTGGCTTGGCCTCTCATATAGCTGTCCCTTGTTGTGTCATTTTTTGGGTGGTGGTTTGAGAGATGTCTGTTACTGATCTTCTTTCATCCTTTGGTGCTGGAGTGAGCTGTGAGTAGCTTGAACTCAAGCAACGCTGATGTATTTTCCTTTACAGCTGCTGCACGCTCTAATTTCTCTAAATGCCTCTTAGCATCTCTGAACTCCACAGCGGGTCTTGAGTCGTATTTGGCTTCTCTTCACCTTAGGCCACTGCCGGAAGCTTCAACCAGAGCCGCTTGGTGCTTTTCGGACTCGAACGCACCCGCACCCGAGGGCACCCGAGGGCACCCGAACGCACGCCGTGCTCCTGTCTGAAAACAAAGTTTGTTCTTCACTTCATGTCACTGCGCTGCCCGCCATCTTCCCCTTCTGACGGCATCCTCTTTGTTTTGCATTTGTCTTCGAGGTGGGACCAGATGGCAGAAGCTTGCCAACAACAGCGCAGTGTTACGTGAGGATAGCTTTCTCATAGAATTCACTGCCTTGCGACGCTGAGAAATTGTTTGCCGACACGCCTAATGTGATCATCGGCCAGGCAGGACTGCTTCTCAGGGTTGTTTTATGTGAAAAAGCTCCGCGCAACAAGAGTGGCATGTTTGTCAAGTCGAGTGGGTTGCGTGCCGGCAAATTCTACGTCCCGTCCATGTACTGATTCGCTTTAGACGTATAGTGCTCCAAGCTTCCCGTTTCAACAGCATCCTGAGGGCTTGCGGTGAGTGTTGAAGGACTGGGTTGCTCGGCTTTGGTAGTTCTCTTCCTTTCAAACATTCAAAATTCTTGTTGGTTGGTTCTTGTTGGGTTGGTTCTTGTTGGTGGGTTCTTGTTGGTGGGTTCTTGTGGGTGGTTCTTGTGGGTGGTTCTTGTTGGTGGTTCTTTGTTGGTGGTTCTTGTTGGCTGTTGTTGGTTGTTGTTAGTTGTTGTTGGTTGGTGTTGGTTGTTGTTAGTTGTTGTTGGTTGGTGTTGGTTGTTGCTTGTTGTTGCTGGTTGTTGTTGGTTGTTGCTGGTTGTTGCTGGTTGTTGCTGGTTGTTGCTGGTTGTTGCTGGTTGTTGTTGGTTGTTGTTGGTTGTTGCTGGTTGTTGCTGGTTGTTGCTGGTTGTTGCTGGTTGTTGTTGGAGATTGCTGGTTGTTGCTGGTTGTTCTTGGTTGTTCTTGGTTGTTCGTGGTTGTTGTTGGTTGTTCTTGGTTGTTGTTGTTGGTTGTTCTTGGTTGTTGTTGGTCGTTCTTGGTTGTTGTTGGTTGTTGTTGGTTATCGTTGGTAGTCATTTGGTTCGTCGTCCTCGTCGTTTGGTTCGTCGTCCTCGTCGTTTCGTCGTCGTCGTCGTCGTGGTGAGAAGTGGACAGAGCAGGTGGATTGCACCGGGAGTGGCCAAGGCTTCTGCGGGGTGGCACCCTCAGAGAGCAAGCGAAACAGAGAGAGAGAGAGAGAGAGCCAGAGTGAGAGAGACTTGCGCGCCCCTAGGGGCAGCTCTCCCTTCGGGGGGGTTAAGCGTGCAGAGAGAGAGAGACGGAGAGAGAGAGAGAGAGAGAGAGCGAGAGAGAGGCCCTCTGAACCAAGGGGAAACATGCTAGCCTGTCGA